TCAATTTCAAGTTATACAAGATGACGTCATATAAACGATAAAACTGTAATTTGTGTGTGTGTGTTTATATTAAATACGCTTCAATATACGGTACCCTATGGAGGATGACACCTTACTTAACGTTGGCTGTTTCTTTTTTATTGCAACAGCCTCGAGAGTATAGATCCCTTTCTTGAACTGTGCCCTTTATAAGGTTTTGATGTAATCTTCTAACATTTCTCTAATATTAATATTATTATTTTTTTATTTGTCATATACGATCAATTCTCTTTTTATTTTTTGCATTGGGGATACGTTCGAGAGACTACCGTACAAAATGAAATCGGGCAAAAAATATACAGTGTACATATGTAAATTAGAGATAGGTTCAATCCAAATATATTTAATAAAAAATGTTAATTTTCATATACAAATAAATTGAATCTTTTATTTATACATATGCATACATAAATATATCTATATCTATTTATCTATCTATCTCATATATATATATATATATATATATATATATAATAACATATTTATAATATATATATATATTATTTAGTCATTCAGTCAAAAAAGTGTCACTACTAGACTGTAAACGTGGCCGTTTCTGTTGTTTTTCAGTGGCGCAAAATCGCTCTCGTCACTGGAAATATTTATTGGTGATGTATCTTCATGTGTATCTTGAATAAAATTAACATCATGTGTTTCTTTTGTTTCACTGCTTTTGAATACGAATTCGGTTATCAGACACTGTGATTTTGATTTTGTTAGTTCTTTATACGATTCTCCATAATGTGCCATAATCATTTTCAAATCAAGCTTGAAATACACAGTTCGTTCAACGTTGTTATCACTTGTAAGAAAATGTTTTCCAAATTTATTGGCTATTTGGAGGCTTTCTAGATGTTAACGACTGCCGCCGCGCGCCGTCTGACGGCGTAGTTACACGCAGCCAGAGGTATGTACAGTGCATAGCCCCCCCCACACACACACACACCAGAGAATGGGGAATTAATATACAGAAAAAAATAGATTGGATTCTATTTTACTTCGCTAAATTGTTATGTAATCATGTTATGTAGAGTTTTGGCATTTTGTAAATTATAATTGATTGATGTTACTTAATTGTTTACTTGCCACTTGCAATAAATTCGGTGCTCACACAAGGACAGATGTTTAAACCTTGTTAAAGCAAAAAAATTAGTGCAAAAACATAATCGGTTCTTTTTGTTGGACCCTGTTATTTCAGAACCGTGCAACAATAAAAAAAATACATGTAAAAAACAGAATTGAGCGTATTTATCGAAATGTGCGCAATTTGCAACTACATTTTGACAAATAGCAAGTTAACCTATGAGAAAGTGTGGTGCATATGTGACCAATGTAAAAATTTAATTTTTTTGCTGATTGTTAGCGTTGGCGATGCAATCTCACACTGTCATTGGATATAACCAACGCCTTGTGTCCTTAAGGGCACGTGGCACAGGGGATAAACAGATTACACCAGCGAGTGTAATAAAGGGTTCAGTTTGACATTCCAACCACCTGAAGAAGGCCGGAGCGTACAACGGCTGAAACGTTGTGATAAATATCGCGACAAAGATGAAGACAATAATCCGAATAGTGGAAACAGTGTAGACAGAAAGTTTATATTTTTCAAGTTACGTTTCATCTTTGGTTCATGGCTATGTTCATTAAGAATTTCAGATTACGTTTAACTGATCTAAGTTTCCAAAAACTAGGAAGAATATGGGTATTTACAGACAATTATTATACGCCAGCAAGGTCATCGGATTTGAAGAAACCTTTTCAGAAGCTGGAATTTTTTCTTGCATTATTTTTTAACAGAAGGTTGGTGCAAAAATAATGTCGTAATTTTGACGTTCAACTTAACGTCAAAAAACGACATTATTTTTGCACCAACCTAATATAACTGATATTTCTTTATTTCGCTTTCATTATTTTACTGAATATTTGATACTTATTCGTTTTTCATAACGAGTTCAGGAAATACTATATATACAGCATATTACACACGGGCAGACATTCTCTAGATAGAGATCTGAATGAAAATGATAGAAAAGAGAGATTTGAATGAAAATAGGAATTCGAATGAATATGATAGAAAATATGGATAAGAATGAAAATGATAGAAAATAGAGATCCGAATGAAAATGATAGAAAATATGGATCTGAATGAAAGTAACAGAAAAGAAGGGTCCAAATGAATATAGTAGAAAATAGGGATCTAAATGAAAATGATAGAAAAGAGAGATTTGAATGAAAATGATAGAAAAAAGCGATCTGATTCAAAATGAAGGAAAATAGAGATTTGAATGAAAATGATAGAAAATAGAGATCCGAACGAAAATTATTAAAAATAGTGATCTGAATGGAAATGACTGAAAATATGGATCCGAATGAAAATGATAGAAAATATGGATCTGAATGAAAGTAACAGAAAAGAGGGATCCAAATGAATATAGTAGAAAAGAAAGATCTGAATGAAAATGATAGAAAATACAGATCTGAATGTGTTATGAAGTAGTTGCACAGTGGAGGCTTGTATTTGTACTAAGTCGGTCCTAAAATAGGTTCGACGTACAAAACGTTAGGAACTTGATATAATAGGTATGACGCAGAGAAATCTAGTTGGTGGTGATTGATACTTTAGTATCCGACTAACGGTCGTCCGACATCGACTGACTAACCCGACCTACTGAGCGACGGTATTTAGTCAACCCCTACCCTCCTACTTATTATAGGTGGCATAAGGCCGGTTTAACAATAGAATAGGTGTGGGTTCCACTATAACAGAATGAAAATGTATAAACGGGTTCAGGGTCTGATTGAAAATGACAGAAAATGCCCTTCGGAATAGAAAATTTTCGGAAAATCCCGTTTGAAGGCAGAGAGTTCAATAGATCAACCGGTCAGCCTGAATATACCCACTGATATCTTCCTCGTTACTCTTACTACTTTACTTATTATAGGTGGAATCTCCTATTAACTATAGAATAGGTGTGTTCCACTATAACAGTTTTCCTCGGTGAATCAATTTAAACCAGGTCGTCCAATTGCAGGAATTTCTTTTTCCAAATTCTCCCTACGCCTGCAATATTCAGTTGCCCACATTTATACTGTTGATAACTCTGTGTGTCATCATATAATGAAGCAACCATTTCAGTATGAATATCCTTATGGGCTAAATCCTTGTTCTGCAGGACTTCATAATACTAAAGGTCAAATTATATCTATTTTCAGAGAAGTCGATGGAATAGTTACATTTGATTTTTTTTCCAGTTTAAACAATCAGTTAACAATTTAACATGGAAATACAAAGACTACTGTTCTTAGTAAGAAGATTTGAAATTAACTCATGCAAGATTTCATAGCTCTAGCATCAGTCAAACTATAGTCATTCTATGAACTCTTTGAACTTACCTCGTAATTTTAACAATTTGAAAAAATGAAAAAAATATTCTCAAAGGATTCATCGAACTAGAATTGTTCTAATAGAATATAATCAACACAGTAGATCTGAAAATATTATATATTTATAAAGACTATAAAATTGACATTCTGGAGTAAATCATAATGGTGTGATTGTTTATAATGTGAGATTTTATAAATAGAAAGCCAAAAAGACTGGATATTTTTTATCCCGTTGTAAATATCATCATTTGTCTAATGCATTTATATATATGAGTATATATATATATATATATATATATAGGGCAGAAACCTCTGACTATAAACTGGCTTCAAGAAAATTTGTAACGATTCCAGAAATTTACATTCAGCGATATTTGACCTCTTGAATAAATTTCGGGTATCAATATCATGACCTGCCCATTTCTGCCCATCTGAAATTGTCCGAAAGCTTGAACATTCATTTCCAAACACATCCAGTGACAAGCCGGGGTTATATATATATATATATATATTATATGATATATATCCATAGTTGATTGCACTTCGCATCGAGTTCGATGCAGACCTGCGACCCAAACTAACAATCCATGCCTATGATTTCGAAATTCAAGGGGATAATGCAACGGCCAAAATAAAGAGGATCCAAAAAGTGCATAAAGAATTCTGTTCTCTTCAAGTTGTTCTTAAATATAATATTTAAGCATTTTATTTTGCTTTTATTGTTATTATATGTGTTATTATATTGTGTTATATATGTTATTATATTGTGTTATTATTGCCATTATATTGCATTATTACCATGTTATTATATGTATTCTGGTGCTATTGTTGTTATTATGTGTTATTTTATATTGTTATTACATATGTTATTGTGTTATTATATGTGTTATATTATATTATATGATTATATTATATTGTATATTATATATATATATATAATATATATTATATTATAGTGAATATTATACTGTGGTTTTATATGTGATAATTATGTGATTATATTATATTGTATATACGAAAATATTTTTGTATATTATATATATATATAATATATTATATTATAATGTATATTATATTATGTGTGTCATATTATATTGTTATTATATGTTTTATATTATGTGATTTATTATTTGTATATTATATATTATATTGAATATTATATATTATATAATATATTATATTTTAATGTATATTATATTATAGTAATTATATTATATTTTTATTATATTATATTAATTATATAAAATATTATATATTATATTCTTTATATTATATATTATATAAATATTATATTATAATGTATATTATATTATATTGATCATATTATATTGTTATTATATGTTTTATATTATGTGATTATATTATATTGTATATTATATATTATATGTATATATATATATATATATATATATATATATATTATAATGTATATTATATTATAGTGATCATATTATATTGTGTTATTATATGTGTTTTTAAACTGCACGGTGACTCGCGGCTGCACTTTGTATGATAAACAAATACCAGAGATGAATAATAGTTTGGGGCTAAACGAATAATAATTGAAGCTTTCATTGATCCACAAACCAAATACTACAGGGACAAATCATACGTAATGTTATTTTTTATTAATTAATTGAACAAAGAAAACATACAGACACATAAAATAGAGAATATGTAGACAGATATACATGTCTGGTAGAAGAAAAGTTACATCTAATAAGAGAAATAAATTCTACTTATATTTAGTCTAAAAATTCTTGGAATCTTTCGAGCCACTGTAGCCACGGTGTTAATATATGTTGCCAATGCCTGGACATTAACTAATAACCCAAGAATTTTAAGCTTGATAGAACATGCACTCAGATAGCGACATCTATATTTAACATCACATGAAAACAAGATGATAAATCACAGCCACATCCATGATATTTCTACCGTCTTAAACGAACGCTAGATGCGCTCTCCAGGGATGTTCGAGAGAAAAGAAAAAAAGGACTCGCGAGTGATCTGGTCACCTAGACATGACGTAAGCCGAGTTGGTTGTCCAGCAATCACCTACGATTTAATCTGTTATCTTATGACACAGAATGCCACCTAATGCCCATTCGACTTGAAGTCTTGCATTAGGAGGCTCGAGTGGATTTGTAAATGGTTGGCAGAAAACAGAATAGGAGATAGCAAAAAGAAAAAAGTTTATTAAAAGCTGCAGAGGCAGGATATTTTTGAGGTTCATGATCGCCCGGTCCTCCCGAGTTGGCATGGTATATATAAAAAAAAAAGAAGAAATAATATATGAGCGCATTTTTTACAAAATTTATTTATATGTATAATTTAGACATTTTTATTAAACCTCAAAAGAACGTCGGATGGCTAATTTCTGCGTATATGAAAACGTTTACTGATTCACTAACAAGATGTCTATCATCATCTTCATTGATTTGACGCGGAACCAATTATACAATCATTTGTACGTCTTGCCCTTTCGGTGAATACTTCTTCAACATAGTATTAAAATCGACACGATTAGCATTCTCACATTCCCATTCGCTTTTATTTTTTCTTTGTCTATTTAGTTTTGCTTCTTCATCTTTCTGTCTTTTCATTACCATCTATTCATTGTTTTGCTCTCTTTTATTTATTTTTTCACCATTTTTTTTTTTTTGGAAATCAAAGATCACACGTTTTTAAACATCGCACGTTTTGTTGTTTCACACCGTTTTGCAAAAACTTTCTCAAGTGTAATAATCTTTCTTTGTCATGCCTTTTTTTTCCTTTTGAAGAGATCGATCGTCCGTACTCAGCAACTGAAAGATAAAGGTTCGTCTTATAACTGATGCCCCACCCAGGCTGTTGGCGGAATATCGAGATAAACACCGACATTTTGTGGGTTACGGAAAAGAAAACAATTTGAAACATCCAATAAAAACTGGAGTTTGTGGCGACAACTTCTTTAATGACTAGAAAATTCGGAGAGGATAAATTGATAAGGAGACAAACGGTTGATTTTGATATTAAAAATTTCATTAAAAATGATTTCACGTACAGGAAAAAAGAGGAATTTGTTAATGGCGGGAAAAGAGAAACGAGAAAAAATTATGCAAGAGAAAATAAAATGATTAAACTATAAATGGCCGAATTTTAAAGAGAATCAATAATACATAGTCAACTGAATATTTATATGACGAAATATAAAAAGAGGAAACATTTAAGTAAAACGTGCATTTCTATAAGGAAATTTTCATCGTAAGTTTGATAAGCATTCCTCTCGACTCGTTCTCAGTACAAGATTGGCAGCAAAGGTCTCATCATTTTACAGTTGGAATTGATAAACCTAAACGTTCTTTGCCAAGTTTCTTGCCTCACCTTTCTCGCTTTTGGAACTCTCTTCCGGCTTTTTATTTCCAGTTAAATTTAATCTTCAAAATTTAAATGCAATGTCAATAGTTATCTTCTTTTTCTAAATTTATATTCTTTTTATTGTTCTCTTTTCTTAATGTTTTTCCCATATTCTTTCCCACCCAGTAAAATTTCATGTCTTAGTAACATTATTGCCTTGATTGAGGCGAAAGGATTTTAAAAATACCAATTGGATATTAAAGGATTAAAACGAAGTACATTAACTAGCATAAAAAGAAATATATCTTTATCTATTTTAAAAAATTTTTATGTTTATACAGATTTTATATCTATCTATCTATCTATCGATATATATATATATATATATATATATATATATATATATATATATATATATATATATATATATATATATACTGATAGGTTTGGTAAGAGGATATTTGGTTTGAATAGTAATGCATATCAACACAGTATATTTTGGTATTTTATGTTTCCAGCATTAGATTTGAAAATGCATTTTCGGATCAAAATGATGGTTTCTCCTGCAAAATTTTACGCATGTTCCAATCCTGCCTGAGTGCGTATCTTTTTCTTTAATAAGATTTCGTTTTGTTTATTTTTTTCCAAACGGCATATATCAATGCCGACAAGGTTTTTATTGCTGGTAATATTTTTTTTTTCAAAAATATATTGCTGGTAATATTGTTTTTTAAAAAA